TAGTGCTCTACCACTTGAGCCACAGCGCCACTTCTAGCTTTTTCCGTTTATGTGGTGCTGAGGAATCGAACCCAGGGCCTCATGCATGCAAGGTAAGAACTTTACCACTGAGCCACCTTCCCAGCCCCACCACTTTTTGACAACAATAATGAACTCTGGCAATTATTAATGTCTAGTAACACCAGATAATCAGTCTAGACAATATAGTCTACTACCCTCAGTATAGAAGGAAAATGTTTTTGCCAAAAAAGTATGTGTGGTGTGTGTATCTGTGATTGAATCTCAAGCTTGGATCCTTTCAACACTATAAATCTAACTACCAGTGTTCAGAGGAGCATGCTAAGTGACAACAAAATTTAGACTCTAAAAAATGTACTGGGTAGAATACACCACTTTTCAATAAGCTGTGGAGGGAAGAAAAAAAAGACATTGGGGCTGGGAAGGTGGCTCAGTGGTAGAGCGCTTGCCTTGCATGCTCAAGGCCCTGGGTTCGATTCCTCAGCACCACATAAGCAAAAAGAAAAAAAGCCGGAAGTGGCACTGTGGCTTAAAGTGGTAGAGCGCTAGCCTTGAGCTGAAGAGCTGAGGGACAGCGCCCAGGCCCAGAGTTCAGGCCCCACGACCGGACCCCCCCCCAAAAAAAGACATAAGGTAAAAAACCCTAAATGAAGGACATCTGAATCCATGGCAATTCATGAATCTAACCTGACAAGTTTAAATCAATTATTAAAAAATATACATGAATGGGTATGTGCATGTATATAATACATGTGTATGTATATGTTGATGTATATCTATCTATATATATGTGTGTGTCATATGTAGATAATGGGATATGTGAATTCAAGTATTTGATAATTTTGAGAAATGATTCACTTTCTTGATATGACTGTTGTCCTTAAAAAAAATCTTATGGAGAAATATACTAGAATATCCACAGGTAACTGGGCATCATATGTGAAATTTGCTTCATAATTTGGGTGTGGGTTAGAGGAAGAGGGACTAAGGGATTGTGAGCTGACAGTTTAAGTGGGGGTGATAGGTACTAGGTAGGCTTTCACTGTAACCATTCTCCTTAGCTCTAGGTGAGACCAAAATTTCCTGTAATAAAGAAAAAAATATAAACATACACAATAACAAGTTTGGTAGCTAGTAATACCAAGCAGGCAAGACCCTTGATATCAGACTGTATATTCCTACTTAGGAGTCCATGACAATCACCCAAGGAAGGAAAATAGTGCTTCTCAATCACTATTCTCTTAATGATTCCCAAATCTTGAACAAGTGTCTCATATGTGTCAGCACTGTAGGAATGAGGAAAGGTGGCTGTGAACCTCCATGCAAGCAGCTTAAGCACAGGGAATGTGCCTGACATTACAGAGAGATCAAGAAATAATTAGTGAATTAACGTATGCCCTAAGGCTACACAAATGGATAGGCAAGCTTTACAACCTAGCTAGTAGAAGTGAGAAAACACCATTTTTTATATTAAAATTATGCAGGTTTCAAGAGTGTACTTCTGTGTTTCAAGTGGAATGGGTTTCTTTCATAAAGCCACAGACTAGTCACTTCTAACAGCTAACAAGTAAACACTGAGAATAAAAATAGTTATAAATACACAATTGGGATGGGTGTGGCTAGCAAATATTCTGATTCTACAATCTGTTTTGGACAGGCCAATGCTTCTTATGTGACTAACAAAGCAAACACTCTTCAGATTCTGTGTATTGGAAATAAAAGTCCACTATTTGCAAAAAGGGCTGAAAACCCCAGGTTTACCAATAAAGACACCACAGTTTCCAAAGCTAAAGAAGAATATACAATGACAAATATCCACATATATTTACGTATCTCCAAAAGAAGGCATATAACCGCCAAAGTATGTGTTTTTCTTTATTGCCTCTAAAGTACAAAATAGAGACAAATACCTTAGGCACATAAACAATTTGTGTGTGTGTATGTGTGTGCTAGTACTGGGGCTTAAACTCAGTATCTGGGTGCTGTCTCTTCACTTTTTTTGCTCAAGGCTGGTGCCTTACTATTTGAACCACAGCTCTACTTCTGCCCTTTTGCTGGTTTATTGGAGATAAGGGATTTTCCTGCCTGTGCTGGCTTTGAACCTTGATCCTCAGATCTGAGCCTCCTGAGTAGCCAGGATTACAGGTATAAGCCCCTGATACCCAGTGGGAATAATCAAATTTTAAAGCCAGAAGAACTTTAGACATCACCTATTCCACATATTTTGTTAGTATAGGAAAACAGTCATCTAGAAAAGGTTAAAGGTGAAAAGTTCTAAAAGAAGTTGGAATTGTGCCATAGTTGAACAAATGTTATGTACAGGTACAAAGTGCTAGGTGTGAAGCACAAAGCACTAATCTTTTGAACAGTCAAAGGAATACTATTGAACAGGGTGTTGATTGTGTTCGTGTGTTGGCAGGCATAATAAGCTTACATAGAAAAGAATACTAAAATGAGCATTTCTAAAAATTCCTTTAACAAGCTCTTCAACTTCACACTAAAGAGCATCTATATTACAACACTTGTAAAATCATGTCCAAATGAAGCAAAGAAAATGAAAGGTAGCTGCTTTTATTCACTTATCTTTTGTAGTTTCTTACTAATGTGATATAATTCATACTGTAATCACAAAAATTATTCCATGTATAACTTATAAATGGTGAAAGATACATATATATCATGTGTATCTGAGTATTATACAGACATATTACATTAGATGTGTATCTGAGTATTATACAGACATATTACATAGACATTTATGACAATATACACATACATGGGGAAGGGGAGAGGAAAAGACCATGCTTTATTTCATCTACTTGTCAAATATTCAATTATTTAATTGCTGATCTATCCTGAATCCATGTCCTGGGAGATATAGTATTGATATGACTCTTCACTATCTATGGATCTCCCCAAACTTCATTTATCTTTCTAGCTGATTTTGACTTAAGACCCAAAATTATGAAATTAAACACAGTGTAAAACTTCAGTCCTCAACTTCCTGCATTTATTAGGGTTTTTTTTTAAAACTGATTATGAGTACCCTGATGTTGTAAATGAAACATCAACTACTGAAATCGAAAGTGATTATGTATATTTTTGCCTTTGAGGGAAATGCAATGTAAGTTGCTGGTATTTTTAAAAAGCTAAAAAGCAAAAGTGAACGAACACTTTTGTCTAAAATGAAATTTATATAAATAAATGTAATACAAGATTATTAGGTTAACGTTATTTGCAAACTCTACTCCAACTCTACAGCTGAAATTAAAGCCAGAAAAGAAGCTATTTATTAAACTTAGTGTAATGTTATGAATAAAGAATCTAAGTCAAGCATTGGTGTCTCATACCTGTGACCCTAGCTACTCAGGAGGCTGAGATCTGGAAGATCTCAGAAAAGGCTAGTCAGGGGCTGGGAATGTGGCTTAGTGGTAGAGTGTTTTCCTAGCATGAATGAAGCCCTGGGTTCGATTCCTAAGTACCACATGAACAGGAAAGGCCAGATGTGGTGCTGTGGTCAAGTGGTTGAATGTTAGCCTTGAGCAAAAGAAACTCAGGGACAGTGCGCAGGCCCTGAATTCAAGCCCCAAGACTGGCAAGAAAGAAAGAGAGAGAGAGAGAGAGAGAGAGAGAGAGAGAGAGAGAGAGAGAGAGAGCAAGCAAGCCAGCCAGCCTGATCAGAAAGTCTAGTAGACCCCATCTTCAAAGCAACCAGCAGAATGCTGGACTGGAGACATGGCTCAAGTGGTAGAACACCAGCCATGAGCAGGCAAGCCACCTGATGGAGACAGAGCATGAAGTCCTGGGTTTAAACCTCTGTACTGACATATACCCACATCTTCACTATGTTGTTTTTTTCTCTCAAGCTTTAAAATAAGCAATAACTGGGGTAAGCTAATTTCATAACACTGATGCATTAATAAAGAATTTAGATGATGGTTTAAATCCATATCCCCTCAAAAAAGTATTTTCCCTATTTTTATATACTACCAAATATTTTCAACCAAACAAAACAGAATGTGCTTTTCAAAAACAAAAATAAAAAAGGAGGATTCATTATTTCATCATGAACCAACACTGGAGTAAGAAATTTTAAAATAAAATCACAGAAAAAGATGGTGTATAGTTAAACAACTATTAATATGTATTTAAGACAAAGAGTTGATTTTTCCATAAAAATAAAAACAAGGAAAAAGAGAACCTAACCTGATTTTGTTTGCCTGACCAATAGAACGTCCCACCATAATTAGTGCCTACCACCTCTGAGGGGAGGAGCTTCAACTAAGGGTAACCTCATACAGTCAGAGAAAAACAGTATAAATAATTCAGGGCAGCTCTGGAGAGGCATCTTCACTGCTCACCTGAGTAGAGGAGGCCAAAAAAATTACTCGGACACCAACTTCAGAAGTCACAGCTCCCAGGTAAGTGCAGAGAGTGAGGGGTCATTAATGGATTTCCATACTAGCTTGCTTTCAAGCAAGTATCAACTATTTTAGTTTCTTCTTGTTGTTTTGCTTGTCTTTTGGTTTTTGTTTCTGCTGCATGATTTTAAAAGAAATGTCTTTGTATTAAAACGCACAGAGAAATATCTGTGTCCATTTACATGAGATAACTAATGAAATCAGATTGTATAATTTTGCCCTAAACTGAATTTTAGTGTATTTTGAAACTGTAGGTATTTCAGGTTCTGTCAAAAATTCTGCATTACTAATAGATATCTAATGATGATTTCTGTTTGTATAGCCTTTTATGTAAGTCATTTTATTTTCCCTTAATTACTTGAATTTGGCTTTCAAAAACAAGGCAAATATTCAAATGACTAAAAACAAATTCCTCATTAATTTATGGAATATGTTCAACATATAAAGCATCAGATTTTAAAAGTAATTAACTGCATGAAGAATTCATCTGTGCAACATTAGAAAAATGAAACAGGCCAATAACAAAAGATTATTGAAATTGTTCTTTTCTTTTCTAGAATCCATCTGAAAAAATGCTGCCACAGGGAGCCTTTCTGCTGCTCATGTTCTTGAACTTGGTTCATGGAAGGTTTTATGATGAGCGATACCAAACACCCACTGGCATAAAAGGCCCACCATCCAACACCAAGACCCAGTTTTTCATTCCCTATAGCATAAAGAGGAATGGTAAGCTGAATTCTATATTTTACTTTATTGACCAGCTGACTGGTGTTTTCTATAATCTTAATGGTGATCATGTTAGCAAAATGCTTTCACCTCTGGTCTTAATGTGTTTTCAAGTTCCTCAATTAGTGCAAATTCTCAAAACAATGATCAGTAGGAAAGTAAGCCTGTACAAGACCTACTTGAACACTAAATATAACAGAAAAATATACCTGGAGAATCTCAAGGATTCTTATGTATGGGATTTTTTCTCTCTCAAATGATGCTTTTGCACAAATGACTTGCTATAATCCATAAATAATACTCCAATGAGATTTAATTATACTTAGGATTTTAACAAAAATGTTTGTACAAAGAGACTAGAAGATTTAAATGCTTATTTAGACTTTTAATAAAAACCATTAAAAACCTGATGGCTTCCAATAAATCTAATAGTCCAGTAAGTATCAATTTTTAGATTAGATTCTTATAAAGTACAGGAATTAAATGTAGACTTAACTGTCACCTACCAGCTGTAAGACCACAAGTAAATTACTTTTCCCCTTGTGTCTTGTTTCCTTATTTATAAAGCACAGAGTAGCTAGCTTAAAGGGCTGCTGAGACCTTCAAATGGTCAAAGTCTGTCAAGTATATGCTTAGCTATTATTACATTGAAAAATTACTAACTAGTTCCACTTCTACTCTATTGATATAACCCATGATAAATTTTATCTCTTCTTTAACCTATTTCTTATCTGTGTGGCTTTCTTACTTAAATAATATATATTAATAATATATAATGACATATGTAAAATAACATAAAATAATGCACATTAAGTAATATATGTATATATATATATATATACGCAGAGAGAGAGAGAGAGAGAGAGAGAAAGGGGGGGAGACACCGAGAGATTCTCCAAGAAGGGCAAACATATTTTCACTAATTCCATTTCAAAGCATCAGCTATATACTGCCTTTAAAATACCTACTGAATAAGATAATATCATCATTTTATCCAGATTTCCTTTCCAAGTTTTCATTTTAGTTAGATATTTTGTCCTGCAAATACAGCTAAGGCTGTTTGCCATAAACTTTAAGTAGTATGATTCTGGGAACAAGTGCTTTCAAAGAACAAAACTTTAAGACTGTCCTTTAAAAAAAGAAAGACAAAAATGTAAAAATGTAAAATACATTTTCATGTATTTCATGAAAAGTAGCTTAATATTTAGAAATAAGAGCCTCAAAATATGGATAAAAGAAAGACAAAAGGAAAGATTTTTTTTAAAGATGGCTACTTTACTTGAAGCAACAAATGCAATTGAACTGTTATACAGTACTAGATTTGATACTCTCTGATCACAAATTCAGACTTAACCAAGATCATACACAATAAAATGCATCATTTAGAAGGTTAACATATACTGTTCATCATCCTGATTATTTTTGCAGGAAAATGAAAATATCTTATTAACAAATAAAAAGTTTAGAAGTTGTATTTTATTACATCTACATGAATTTATTTGTAATAATGTAAAATAGGAACTCAAATACATTATCATTGATTGGTAGGCAGTAATGTACTATAACAGAAACAAAGCCATACTTTATACAAGTAAAAAATGAAGCTGAGAAGAGAAATAGAGTTCCTGTATAATTCCCAGTCATATCTGTGCAGCACGGGCTAAAGGAGAGTTCAGCCAAAGCATACAAGTATGCTACAGCTGCTAGGCTGACACGGGTGCCATATCTGACACACTGGGGCACTAGTTCAGTTTGTGGATATTTAAGAAACTTCATAGTAGGTTTTTTCTTAAGGATAGTGATACCCTAATCTTACTCTTTCAGGGGGCAAACTGAAACAAGGGCTAATCCCCAAGGACTCAGCAGAGTCAAATTCTTTCTTGCATTGAGAAGTTTAGGCCCCATTAGGGCAACATTCCAAGTTACTGTCACTGGAGGTCTGGACTCAAGTGGTGTCCAGTACATTCATTCTCAATAAGACTTGCTTTTCCTCTTTAACAGTATAACATTCCAGGTGAGACAATTATTTTAATTGGAATAAGACCCTGAGGTTCTGACATAGCCAACCCAGTTTACATTTTTAAAAAATGTGCCATCATAGTCCAAACCATCAAGAAATCCCTTGCTATTCATCTGTTCTATTTGCCATGTGTCAACATATATTTATACATGTAGATATACCGTGGATGTATACTCATGTCAATCAATACTTTCATCTGAAAAAATTCATGGGAAAACTGTACATATTTAAGGTTTGCAAACTGAAAATATGACTCCAATAACTGAAAACATAAACACATCTAAGCCTAAAACAAGTGTTTTCCTATTTTAAAAAATGTCTTAAGAATTTCTTTGGTGATTTGCATATAACAAGAGTTTTTCAACTTTCAGGAACATCTCTAGCTAAGAGAGTAATAGTCACTGTTAGCAACTTATAATTGTGAAACAATTATATAAGAGAACTTAAAATCTTAATACATTTGTGTACCAACAACTAATAGTTAAAGGGAACTGTACTCAAAATATTTTAAAAGACAATCTGTAACTCATTTCAGTTTGTTTGAAACAATTTTCTTTCAGTCTTCATTTATCATTTTAAGCCATGAAACATTTTAAGTCTATTTTTTTTTCAGAAAAGATATGGCTTAAAAATTATAGCTATTGGGCAAGGGTATAGGTCAGTGGTAAAACACTTACCTATTTTGTCTGAGGCTCTATTGTGCCCCCATTCCCAAAAAAGTCATAATTACAAGTCATTTTCATGTGTTTTTTGAGCAAATTATTGAACTACTATAATATCTACAATACCAAGATTATGATGGACCATTTTCCAACAAAGGCTCTAATAAGCAGGTATTCTGAAATGTATTACACAGAACATTAATATTAATTCTGCAAGTAGACATTAAAAATCATGTGTAAGTTTATTTTCTATAGATGTTTATGGTGACTGCTCTCAAAAGACTGGCATTAGTAATCCTTCTCTTGGGCATGTAACACTAACCCCTGCAAAGCTGTGGCAGCCCATCTCTCAAAGAACACAGCAGTTCTTGGCAGCTGTTTAAAGCACTGACATGGTACATCATCACTTTCCTGAGCCCCCAGCTCATCTTCAGCCGTCCCACCTGGAGCCCACTAGGATTTCCTCACACTGAATAAGGAAGTGACTGCTAGGTTTAACTTTAGTTTATCAGAAGGAATGTTCTAGCCAAAATGGACTGATAGACTTATGAAATAAAAAATATTATTGCCATGTAGGTACACACTTCCATACTATTTTAAGTGCCTTGGCCATCGTGTCTAATTCTCTAATTTTTTGTTTCAATTTTAAGTTAATATAGAGATCTCTTAGTACATACCAAGGACAGAAAAGGCCAGTCTAAATCTAAATTATTCAGTAGGGCATGGCAGATGTAATTTATTTATTTCCATTTTTCACTTCTATTTTATAGGATAGCTTTTGTAAGATAATTTTTTTTGGGGGGGGTTTGGTCATGGGGCCTGAACTCTGGGCCTGGGCGCTGTCCCTCAGCTCTTCAGCTCAAGGCTAG